TAAAGGCTAATTTATTTATTTAATAAAATAAAAGTTCAAATCCATCAATTCCTAGGTGAAACTGAAAACTTTATATACATGTTTGAGTTATATTATTTTTGTATATAATAAATGTATATTATATTAAAATATAAACTTAATTAATTTTGATAATTTTGGTACTTTCAGTTCGGTATTGATATTGCAAAGTTTTGTACCAAAAAATACTTTCAGTATCAGTTTTATGAAATACTGTATCGAATGGTATTGATCAGAATCTTAGCCCTGATGTACTTGAATTTATAAGAAATACAATTGTCAATATATTTGTTTTACAATAACAAGTTGTCTGATTATCTGAAATAAAAAAATTGACCAAAGTGTTTTAACAGCAGTAGGGTATATTATATTAAATAAATTTATTTTCTATTTTTTAAATTTTATTAACATATAAATACTTGCAGATACCTTTTAACAAGAGAAAGTGAAATTTTTACACATGTTCACAACATATCTATTGAATTGTGAGGATCTGAAAGACAATATTTACAAGAAGAAAATGTTATAGCAATGAACAGCTTTTTTTTTAACTATGCCATAAACATATTTTCCAAGGATGTGACTTCAAGTATTTAAAAAAAAATTGAAGAATTTGACCTTCCCTGATTGAATGGCAACCAGTATGGTGCTGTTGATAAAAAAATTATGATTTCTTGCAATGATAAAAAAATTTTTTTAAACTATTTTTTAGGTTTTTATGAGACCTATGTAGCCTGGAGATATAGTAAGTTTGCACATATCAATACTAATTTTTTAGAACATGCGATTGCAGCAACCTGTTTGAGAGAAATATGACCTGCCAATAGTAGTGAATTTGATTATTAGGAAGAGATTTCGATAGTGATAATTTTTATCTAGTCAAGTGGGGAATTAAAGTAGAAATGATAGGTATTTTTAAAAAAATTTAAAGTATTGCTGATTTAAATTTTTAATATTTTTTTAGGAAATACTTTTTACTGTTAGTCAGACGATGAATTGTATAGCACTACAGTCTTGCTGATAGAGGATATAACTTGTGGACTGTTACAAAATTTAGTCAAAAAAACAGTAACAGCTATAAAAAAATGGAGGGAAGGAAAAGAAGAAAAATATCGTATCGATTATTGACATAATCAATTATTAATAGATTTTTATGTTTTGCAAGCTCTTGTAAATTCGATAAAAAAAATAGTGAAAAAAATAATGCTAATTATGAAGGGACATATATAAATATAGAAGACAATAACTGATAATGGATAGATTAGTAATTTTAATTTATATTTAAAAATAAAAAATTTTCAATTAATAATCTTTTAAATTAAATTAAAGTAAAAATGTTATAATAAAAATTATTATTAATAAAATAATCAAATTAAATCAAGTAAAATTAAATTTGAACCGAATTCAAATTGAATTAAATCAAGCTATATTATATCCAATTCGAATTCAAATTATATATCTAAAAATGAATCGAATCGAATTTAGCTAAAATCTGATCTGATTTGATCCGTTGCAATTCCTATTTATGAGTTTATAATACAATAGTTAATATTTTATAGATCAGATTACAAGATATTGATTCAACCTTATGTAAGAGTAATTAAATAAAATTAATATAGTATTTGATATTATAACCTATTAAAAGTGTTGTTTTTTATAAAAAACCATTTCATATACTAATCTAGCAGATGTTGAGATTATGATTTCCAGAAAAGATATTATGGCATAATAATTATCTGATTGATATTATAATAATTGCCAGAAGTTATAATAAGTATAAAATATTTATTTTTCAGTAAAATAATTTGAAAATTGTTTTTCTGTAGTATCTAATATATCTTTTAGCAAATTTTCGAAAAGGTCTTATTTCAATTCAGTAATAAATTACTTTAACAGTTATTTATTTTAGAAAGGTAGCTAAAACAACAATAAGTACTAATAGTTAAAACAATCTATAAACAGTAAGTCTGTGAGATAAGTTCTTTAAATATTCTTGAATAACTTTAGGAAAGTAAAAAGTAAATGGTATGTCTATCTATAAATGGTCAAATTTAAAAGGATTTTTTTGCAAGGTTCTATTTGCCTAATAAATATTACTTTCAATTTTTTCTTTCAAATTTCCCTTAATATATTTCCAGTTAGAAATAAAACTTAACATATAATAATGATATTAATGGCACTGTAACACATTGGTCTTGGCATAAATAGATCATCAAGTCTATAGCCAATAGCAACAAGCCAATATTAGAATAAAATCTAATATAATCAAGCAATTATCTAGAATAATTCATAGGTAGTAATTTCCTATAATATATGATATAAACATATGTAAATTAAATAAAAAAACACAAGATATGACCCAGCTAATCAAGTTAAAAAAAAGCAATATGTTTAATATAATATATACAGTATTTCTCTTTGCTAGAAAAAGTTAAATACAAGACTCACTATTATGGCCTATTCCTTATACTCTTTGATATTATCTAAAAATATAAAAAAAAAGAAATTCAAAACTTATATTATATCTTGAGTAGTATTTAACTATCTAAAGATAATTAATTATCTAATTACGTAAAAGTGCTATAGCTACTTTATACAGATTGACTCCCAAGTGATAATTAGAATTAATATGTTTGCTTTTTAAATATACAGTAATTTAATATATAGCAGGTGGAGTATTGTTTTGTTTTATACTTCAGTTAGATAACTACAGAATATCTTTTAAAGACATGATCCGATATCGACATGTCTCAAAGAAGAAATAATGTCGAAGGTCATAATCGTAGTACATTGCATAGATCTTTCCGTTAAAACCTTGAATGTAAAGAATGGGTCTCAGCCAAGAGTGAAAGAAAATCAATACAAGAATTTCTCCATAACTACCTCCATGATTTATTCCATGTACAACAATGTCCTTTATCCATTTAATTGTTTCCCTTATAAATTTTATCTTCTTCAAGAGACGGTCTAGTTAATTCTTCATTTCTCGCAAAATTTTATGCTTGTAGGAAATCGGTTTGGAGTTTTGTGGATCTTCTTCAACGTATGTTTCTGAACCGAGATATTCCACATCGTCCATACGAAATAGAATATCAATTTTGTGTCCAGATTTTTTTTTCCTGACTCATCTCTTAATAAGTTTTACGTTCAGTAGATGCCAACGATATCTCTTCACCTCTGAAGTGACAGAAAAAACAATTTGGATAAATATTAAGACAAAGCTAAGAAATTAACTATCGCAATAAATTTTATTAGGAAACTTTATACTAATCGATGAATTTGAATTTCTTCACATGTCAAAAAGCAATCATCAATCAACGGAGTCAAGACATGACAATTCAGCCAACCTTCAGAGTTTTTATCTAAGAGCGAATTTCGTGGAGCTTCAAAAACAATGATCTAGGTATTAAGATAAATTGTTATGAGATGGGTTATATCATAAACAATGCAAAAATTCTGTCTATAGAAACGAGAACTAAATAAGACTCAGTTTGTCAGCAAAATGATGGACCCAATGTATTTCATAAGGAAAAGTGGTAGTAACAATAATAATGATTATAAAAAAAAGAAATTACTAGTGACAAATCCTTAGAACATATATTATCGATTAATTCATCGATATATTTTGTAGCCTCATTAGTGAAAGGATCCCATGTTGTGACGATTATATTTGAACAGATTGGTTCACTACAATCAAAACAGGGATAATTAGTTAGTTAATATGATATAGAAATACAAATTGACTTTAATAGACATGTCTTTACTTACTACGTGGATTTCACTCGCTGTTTTTCTTGCCTTAATCGTTTAGATTTTTTATATGTAGAGCAAATTTGATGAGGCGGAGTACGTGGTATATCACACCCGGAACTATTAACATCGTTCATATCACTAGTCATTTCCGTAGCTCCTCTGCTAGACCCTGTACTTTCTGTCTCAATTGGCATTTCCAAGGATTGTGAACCCGATAATGACGATGTAGCTTTTGAATGTGTAGGTCCTTCGGCTATATTATTGCTAATGAAATCATCGTCCTCCACATCCCTGCTGGTGAAATTGACCTATTTATACAAGAAAATTTTTTGAGAATTCGCTCATCATAGGGTTGCATTCTATACATACCTTTTTTGATTCTTTATTCTGTAGATACATGTATCAAAGTTATTGTTAAGAAATACTCGATAAATTTCAAGGCAGCATTTTATATCAAAAAAAATTATTGTTATATCCTAACTTCTGATAACGACAGATTTTTTTTTTTGTTTTTGTCTAGATTCAAGCTATCGTCCAAAACGCGTCTTTCAAACTTATTAGTAATTGTCCTTCGTAATAATAAGCCCTGTTCTCGAGTATCTCTTGTCACATCCAGAATATGATAGGTCTAAAATAAACCTTCAGTATGCTGACATCTACGAATTTAATAAGAAAGTAAACATATTAACCTGTTCAAGGCAGATCTGAGTTTCCATTTCGTTCGCTTTTAGAATTTGTAGCACTTCACTCTACGGTGTGCTCACCAACAAGTACGAAACCAGCATGGTAGTCGGTGATAATGCAAAATAATTTGCATACTAACACACCGCAATTTATGGCATGTTCGCCAACAAGTACGAAACCTTTCCCAATGCCAGTACGAAACCAGCATGGTAGTTGGTGACGGCACAAGCCTCTCATCAACAAGTACGAAACCTTTCCCAATGCCAGTACGAAACCAGCAAGGTAGTTGATGACAGACCTACACACTGACACACCGTTTACATTTACCTTGAAATCTTGTTTTCACTTTAGAACCTTCTGCCCAATTTCAGACGATTCAGAATAATACTTGCTGATAATAATTAGGTCACTATTGTATCGAAGATGCTCCGTTTCCTCAGCTTCAAGGTTTCCTTCTTGTAATTGAAACTTTAAATATTTGTGGAGTGAGGGTGTGTCCGACTCTCCCAAAAGGCTACATATTTTACAAACAACAGATTACGCTATAATTGATGAAATATTAACACCATTGCAGTTTGTCTTACCACGGGATTTAAGAGCTTTAAGACATTCGGTTGTCAACTGCATTTTTATGAAAGACGGTTGGTAAACAATGCAATATTAATTATTAAATCTCTATTTGCTATTTATTTTACTGATTGTTATTTTTAATTTGATTATCAATGAGAATATCGAATTGTCATCATTACATCATTGTTGATAATTCCGTCAAAATATAAATAAGTCCGCTTTGCATATTTGAGCAAGATAATGTCAACGATAAAGTATCGAGGAGCACAAGAAATTCGAAAAACATACGAAATTTCTTCTGAAACATTGAGAAGGTGGAACAACCAAGGGAAGATATCAAGTATTAGAACATCTGGTGGCAACAGGTTGTATTCCGTAGTGGATGTGGAGAAGATATTTGGAAACTAAGAAAGAGTAAATGAAAAGAAAAAGATCTGTTACACACGAGTCTGTTCAGAAAAGCAAAAAGATCTCGACAGGCAATGCGAGTATCTCAGGCAAAAATGTCTAGACTACGAACTCATCAAGGACATCGGATCAGGTCTCAGCTGGAAACGCGAAGGTTTTATGTCCATTTTGGAACAATTGTACCAAAGAGATATTGAGGAGGTTGTGGTTATCCACAAGGACCGTCTCTGCCATTTCACTTTTGAACTGGTCAAATGGATCTTTAGTAAACACGATACAAAGATCATGGTACTTGGTTCGGACATCAACGTTGATAATACCAAATCCGGTGAGCTTGCCAAGGATCTATTATTAATCTTTACTATCTTTACAGCAAGACACAGCAGACTCAGATCAGCTGAAAATCGAAAATGACAAAGAGAGATCGAAAACATGAAAGATACGGATTTATCCAATGCCCGAAGAAAAAGAAAAGCTAAGAAAGTAGATGGGAACTGCGAGGTGAACATACAATAAAGTTTTTAAGATGGTACAGGATAATGGGATCACTGATATGAGTGTCATACAAAGGCATTACCTAAACAATGAATGTTTCACAACTAAAGAACTTTATGGGTAAAAGAAGACTCCTAGAGAAGTATGTTCATATATGATTAGACAATTAATAAGTGTATATAAAATAAACAAGAAGTTGCATGGAAATAATTTTTAAATGAAGTATCGATTAAAGAAGGATTGAATACAAACCATCTCGATCCTTGATAGGGATTGGAATAGGAATAGAGAAGAATATGCATTTCTAAAGAATATCACCACTTCAGAACAATTACTAAAAATTAATAACATGATAAACATTACTATAAATCATCTAGGACATTTTTACTTGTGTGTTTCCATTCCTCTAGACATTATTGATAATAAAGATGATATTTGGAGAAAGATAATCTCATTTGATCCAGGTGTTTGCACATTTATGACTGGTTACGATATTAACAGTCAATTAATAGAGTGGGGTAATGGTGATTTCAATAAAATATTCAAACTATCCAAGAAATATATTAAATTAAGAGTGATTAGATTCTTGCATTAGGACAAACAAATAAGAGAAAGTGATTTAGATTAAAAAAAAATATTACAAGTTATACAATGAATTTGTCATTTAATAGATAAGTGTCATTACTAGTTTATAAGATAATTATATATGAATTATAAGATCATCTTGTTACCTAAATTCAATCTTCAAGAATAGTTTTAAAAAATAAGAGAAAGATTTAGTCAAAAACTACTTGTGCAATGCTAACTTGATTGTATTTCAGATTTCAGATGTTCTTACAACATAAAGCAAAGGAGTTCTACATTTGCAAAATTATTAAGTGCACTGAGAAATATATATTCAAGACATGCAAGTATTGTAAATTCATGAAGAATAACCTCAGAGGATTAAAAACATTTAAATGTGATTTGTGTGAAGTGAAAATGAATCAGAACATGAATGGTGCCAGAAATATCTTGCTCAAATATTTGATAAAGAGTTAGACTTTGGCCTAACTTTGGAACTTGAACCTATATAGAATAGAATATGCATAATAAAGATTAATTTTATTTATTGTGACCTGTAGATCCATAATGTAGTGGTTAACACTTCACAGGTCAGATTACAAAATATCAGTTCAACTCCAAATGAAGTAGTTGAATAGAATTAATATGGTATTTGATGCTATAATCTGAAATACATTGTTTCTTATAAGAAGTCAATTCATATGCTAATTCAGTGGGTGTTAAGATTGTGATCTCTAGAAAAGATATAGTGTCACGATGATCATCTGGTTGGTACTACAACGATTGCTGAAAGTTGTAATATGTATGAGGTGTTCGATTTAGTACAAGATAATTTAGGAATTGCTTCCTATAATATCTGATGTCTTTTCTATAAAAAGGTTATTCAAAAGTTCTATCCTAATCCAATAAAAAGCCCACCCCTATATTGCTTATTCCAAAAAGGCATCTAATATTTCCAAGTAGCTGCAAAAACTGCTGTAGGTTGTAAATCTATAGTTGTAAATACCTTGAATATCCTTGAGCCGTAACAGAAAGGCAGGAATTAAATAGCTGCAGGTGGTACAGAGCAGTAAAATAATCTTGAGTAGGATTTTATTTATTGAAAAAAGGTATTATCCCCAGTTCTCCACTTTCCCTTCTTCTTAACATATTTCCAAATAAAATCTAAATAGTACAGTAATGCTAAAACACACTAGTGAAGTTTTGATATGCTAGTTTTGGTCCCTTTGCTATAACCAGATTATAAAATAAACTAATAACTTAGAGCTAGCATTTGGAGAAATCTCGATATAGTTTGATATATAAGATATAATAGAAATTATAGCAGTGGTCATATATTTAATATATAATCAATTTACAAATCTCTACAATAATAAAGTATACTAAGCAACAGCTCCAATTAGTGTAAAAGAGAAAAAAAATTAACTTTATTTATTCATATTGAATTCAATTTCAAGGACTAAGAATATAAGCCAATAATAATCACTAATTTATATATTTTTTATTTATTTATTTGATATGAGAAGTAATAATCACATGATAATAATATTGATGTAATGGTTCAGTAAGGAATTTGTATCTGAGAAATAGTTAAATAGTATTCTGAAATGAATTGGATTAATTTGAAATTCAATCTGAAATTTTATATTTCAGGTCAGATTATTTGCTTATATAATAATTTCAAATTGGGTCAGATCAGATCATGTCAATATTGGATTCGATTCATTTGATCTATTTGACTTGATCTATTTTTAGTCTGAGTTTAAAAAATAAATCCAAAGCAATTACATTATTTATAATCAAATTTTCTAGACAAAATTATACAATATTTGATTATTTATAATTAAACTCACTCTATAATCTCAATTTCTAAATAAAAAAAGATCAACTTTATATACAAAATATATATAATTTTGATAATATATCTTTGATTTTTTTACCTATGTTATTTTTAATTTTGTAAATTTAATTGGTACCCTTCATATATTTAAAAAACTTTATTTCTTTTTCATAACCATTTATACAAATAATATATTTTTTATTCTCTTTTACCAAATAAAACTGGAAATTCTTTTTTATTTAAGTTCAGTTCTGATAATCATAAGATTATGATTCCTGAATTTTCAAATTCAAAAATTTGATATCAATTGATAAAACAAACAAAATAGATAATTTTGATAATTATTAGTATATAGTTTTGTATTATAGTTTTTGTGCCTGATAGATAGTAATAATTTTAGCTTTTTTTGATAAGATAGCTATTGTATATATTTAATTTGAATTGTAATATAAGTAACAAAATATTCTTTCTTATCAAAATTTTAATTTCAAAATATGAAATTTAGTGAAGACATTTTCATATTTATATTTTATGGTTATACAGATAAATATTGTATATTGCATAGAGTTTAGATAATAAGGATTTGGTTTTGCAAATAGAGATAATACAATGGATTTTGACTGAAGATCATCTAATATTTTGTTTATTACAATAAAAATATCTGATTACTCTTATACTTATGATAAACCATTAATGTCATTATGTTGATCAATAACAATTATTACAAAACATGTATAATATAACAACCTCCCTAACATTAATTCTAAATTAAGTTATTATATAAATGACTAACATAAGTATGTTTATATCCTTGCATGCAAAACAACCTTACCTATCAAATCCAATTATAGAATAAATATTTGTATATCAAAAAACAAAAAGAAATTAAAAAAAAATTTATTGTCATTGAGTATAATAATATCTGTTCAACATAAGAATCTTTAATATTGTATTTTCAATTTTGTAAAAAGATTATATAATAGTGATTTAATAAAAGCATAGGAATTTTGGGCTAACAAAGAGAGCTTGAACAGTTATAATTAACAAAGTCCATTGTCTATATATTTATTTCAGAGAAGGAAATAATACAAAAAGATTAATTGTAAAAAAAAATGATTTATAATATTTTTCTCATTATATTTATTTTTTAATATATATTTTAAGTTTTATTACACAATTTCTCAGAGCAGTTTATTGGTTTGAATGATTTATAAGTTAATTCAAGTTTGCTACTAGAATTATAGTCAAATAATTTTCTAGTTTAGTTAGATTCTGTGAAGAAAACAATAACTTTCTAATTAAGATTAGATACCTTTTGCACTTAGTTCTTTAGATATGTAGATAACTTTAATTAATCAAATTATTTTATACTTGTTTATAATATTAAAAATAATATTATTTAGTTGGATAAGATATATGGCAATTTTAATATGCCTGCAAGTATTGATTAATATATGAAGAGATATATTAGGTTATTGATATTTACATAAAGCTGAGATATATTAATAAGTGAAAGATTCAAATTCACAATTAAGTGAAAACTTAATTTATCAATTTTTATTTATACAATGAGACTATTGCACTTACAAATTATGGCTTATTTTTGAAGATCTAGTAATATCAGAGTTGTATTGTTTTTGGATTATTCAACTTGAGAAAAAAGAGTCTTATGAATAGGCTGTTATATGATAAATTAATATAAAACTTCAAATTAACAATAAATTTAATTTATACTTGAATAGTTTTTTAT